TCCTCCTCCTCCTCCTCCTCCTCCTCCTCCTCCTCCTCTTCCTCGTCCACCGTCTCCGTCGTCGTGCTCTCGCTAGGTGGAAGGTAGTGTCAACTACATCCCACGTTTGCTCCTCTCGGTGGAGACATTGAGTCTGCGAGAAAAGACAAAGCAAATATACCGAAAAATTATATCAGAAATTATTAGCATAGTAATATTAATGGGATCATATCAATGATCGGAATCAATATTTGGCATTCTCATAGATAGATATTCGATATATTATAGTTTCTCCGATATATTTATATTTCATTCGACATTCGCTGCTAAGCAAACGTCAGATATCAATAACTGTGAGGTACATGCAGAAACGTTTCCTCATGAATACTTCTGCGCGATGACAAAAGGGAATTTAAAGTATAAACTAATACGTGACTTTTATTAAAATCTGTATAACCGAGAGATTAACTTCCCCGCTACTGACGAGATACAGCTATTACATTCGACACAAGTACTCGTATCTGGTTTCGCGCGACGGACGACTCGCCTTAATCCTCGTCACCGCGCTTTAGAAACACTCTAGTGGTATATTAAAAGAAAAAGAAAAAAAAATAAAATAAAATAAAATAAAACCGAGACGAAGGAAGAAGAGAGAGAAAGTTCTTTTGTCGTACTTCGACACGGCATGAGACTACTGTCAAGCGTACCGCGAAAAGCGCAACCAATGCCGCGGGGCTTCCACTCTGTTTCCCTGAATTCGCGCGAAAGACTTTGCACTTTTTCTCTCCTCTCTCTTGACCGCCACTTTATCTTTAAGGGGATCCTAAAATCGTCTGTTTTACGGATTCAAAAGGACTTACACATATACGATTTACGTGTCACACAACACATCACACTAAGCTAAACGTCCCAGTGATCGGAGATGCATCTATTTAACAGTGTATGTGTCCGGATAATTACACAAAATTTATTATTATTAATCTCAAACGTTTCTTTTATTACAATATTATATTATTATAATTGTATTTAAAGATTACAATTAAATTAGAATATTATATTAATAATATTGTAATTTAAAAAAACGTTTGAGATAGTAAATAGTATAAACAAATAAAGTTTTGCGTAAAATACACTGTTAAATTTACAGTGTCAAATTTAACTAATTTTAACATTTTGTGTGTGTGTGTGTGTGTGTGTGTGTGTATGTGTGTGTGTGTGTGTGTATGTGCTGCTACTCAACATATTGTTATTTTATATTAAAGCAATGAATAAATTTGACAGTATATAGTTAAATTTATTGAGCAGAAGCGCAGAGTGGCGATTTAAATTAGTCGAATTTGACACTATAGATTTAACAGTGTAGATACATTTCCGATCACTGGAACGTTTACCATATTACATCGATATTGCACGCGCACATATGTACAAATTTTCCAACTAATCTTTCATATTAGGTACCTAAGTTTAGATATCGTTAAGAGATTCAACACCGCTTAGACCACTTTTGATCTGTCTATTTTTTCAAGACTTGCTTAAGATATCATGAGATGCATAGATATCTCATTCTATCTTAAGGGTGCTGAAAAATATGATGGACCAAACGTATGGTGTCCAATCTCCTACTTGAGGATCTCTACCTAACTCTAATTCTAACAACTCAACATTGTTTGATCAACACTAGTCCAAACCAAGATTGTTTTATACATATAAAGTACAAAAGTTTTATTTAAAACAAATGTTGTTGCGCCAGAAATCGATGAAAAAACGAATTTTCCAACCTCCTTTTCGGCATAAAGTCGACTGGTTTGGACTACGTTACCGTTCACTCAATTATGTATGTGTATATGGAAAGAATCTTTATATAAGGGAAGTTAGAAAAATAATTTATTTGAAAAATAATCAGATAAAACAGACGACTTGAAGATCTCCTTAACGAGCTACTTATTCATCATTCGCGAGCAAACCGGACGCGTTCGAAATGCATCTCAAACTTATCAAGCGTTCGCACTTCCGTTTTCAGAGTACAAACTGTAATGCCGTTTACTCTGCGATTTCCGCGCGGCAGCTTCTTATCACACGCCACTTATCGAACTTGAAAGCGGGAGAATGGATTATCGATGATCAGATAGATCCTTTTTTTTTTTTCGCTAACGCGCAGTAATCTCCTGAATCTTAATTCCGACATGGTAGAAAATATGAAAAAGACATGATAGAAAATATGGAAAAATCTCTCGCGCGTCTGTTACACGAATAAAAATTCCATTAACGAAACTTTCCGATCCGACGTTGCATTTCTCCGTCAACGAGATTTACTTGTTCCGTTAAAAAATTCAAAAAGACGAAATTAACTTATGCCACGACTTCGGAGATGTACTGAGAGGTTCGCTGTAATAAGCGCGTTTTAATACCGGAAGTAACACCGTCGGAGCAGCTTGCGCAGAAAAATGTCGGGCCGAAGTTTCGAACCTGTTACCGTCTAGAATCACAATTCGATTCGCGTTCCTCTCGTGCGCTCTCGTCCCGTCGTCGAGAACACACGGGGATGCCTACTCGCGGGGATGCGACGGCGGTCCAATTACGGACGTATTTCACTTGCTGACTTGTCTGTTTAAACGCGCGCCATTTCGCCGTGGCGGTCTTAATATACTCGCAGGGAATTTTGCGTGTCACGAATTAGATCCGCCCGTGCAACGGCGCATTCGAAAGAGCGCTGTGCCAAGACAGTTAATTTGCACAATTAACTGACGTTTGTAGGCAGACGGAATAGAGACGGCAAATAAAATGCGTTTACGTCTTAAGAAATAATTTTCTCTCGTAGCGTTTCGACGATCAAAGGATTCTAATATCGAATCGTACAAAAAAAAAAGGGCTTCAAAGACTTAAAATGTATTCTCGATTCGATTAATTCTGCTTCACTTTCAAGAATATTGGAACATCGTCCAGTTTTACGTATCGGGAAGGCAAAGCCTGTTAAGGCGAATTAACCTCCGGAGATGAGAATCAGTAAGCAAAGCTTAGCTGTTAATTCAATTTCAGGTGGATTTTGCTGTAATAAATCGGTTTTGTGGAGTTAAAGTTGAACTACCAATTAAAAAAGAGGTTCAAAAATTCTTCAGAATCCACCTCCCGATTCTCCGACGAGGCGACCCGACGCGGCCTTCCCGGCTGAAGGATCTCTTCGAAAGAATTTCGCCAAAACATTTCGCCTTGCCTTTACCGCGTGGGATAAACACTGAGGGGGGGTAGAGGACATACTCGAAGGAAGTAACGTACTCGATAACTGCCATAATTGCGACAGATTCCTCATCGAATGCGGCCAGTTCGATATCCCTGGCCAGGCGGTCGAACTGCTGCTGCGGCAAGGGCGTGGAAGGATGCATGTTGCGCCAGGTGTGCAACGCGATTACCTCCCTGTTAAGTGCGCATGGCATGCTCGACGCCTGTAATTATAGAAATGCCAGCGATATTTAAACCTTTTTGCGGAACGGTATCGTGCAGGAATATACTTTAGGTCTGTCGCGAATACTGGATAGCGGATGGAGTTTAACGTTAAGGTGGATCAACTTCTTGGAGGAGAGGCAGGGGGACATTTTCTTTTTAATTCAGTATTAACTATCGTAATTAAATCTCAATAGATAAACTTTTTTATAGCTATTAATAAAATACATGAATAATATTTTGTTATTATACTTGTAACTAATAATACTTAATTTATATAACATGAGATCACATGAGATCGTAACAAAAAAGTCACATCAACCTACGAGATCACATTTTATTTTTTAAACCTGTACTTTTCTACTGAATGTATTTTACGTTAATATTTGGATTTTTAATTAAAAAAAATCATAAGATTCTTCACATGTTACAAATTACATTTTATATATATTTACTTCATACCATTATTATTTTCGTATTGAAAAGAGGGACAATTCATAATCGCGTCCAATTGGGGACAAAATTTCGGATACTTCATAGGACTGTCCCTCCTAATTTGAGATGATTGATCACCTTAACAGCCTACCTCTCTGAGAATCGAATAATTCGAGCACTTGAAATTCCAGACAATCGTCTGGAAAATATTGAAAAAGTACTCTTACGTTATCTCACCTATATTCCGCAACTGTCTGGTACAATATTACAATCGTGCGGCATATAAATAAGTCCTCGTCTGTCCCGAAGTTTAAATAATACACGCCTTCTCCTTTTAATCTTCAGATTCATCCAGTGTTCGCGCGAAACCCAAAATTAGTTTCTCTTTACACGCGAACGGAGAACTGTCGAGAAATCAACGATATTACTTGTTTGTACTCAATGGCGTTTTATGCCGGTCGACATTTACCGCACGGAACAAAAGCGCACGTATACTTCGCCGTTTGTTATTCGTTGGTATTAACATTTCCGCGGACAGTGTTTCTCGCGCGACGAGTAGGCGCGAACTTCAGTATCGAGCTTCTCGTAACGTTTGCGAAGGTCGAACGGCGTTCGCGTCCGCCTCGAGATAATCGGAAGCGAGTGACGGGACGTCGTTCGAAAATCGATGCGGGCTTGTAATTTTTACCTTACGCGGCGTCTAACGACGGCATTGAATTGTTCATCCCTCTAGGTAGCCTCATTTCATTATTATACGCGGAACGTATAAAATAGCTCGGCGAATCAAATTTCTTAATAATGACATCTTTAACATTTAATGCTACATTTCTTTCCATTTTATCGGCAAATCTCTTTTACATCGTTCGTACGACATAATCAAATAAGGCTCGGTTACACAAATGTGTAAGATTAATTTCAATCTGAGATTAATTTAATCTCAGTTTAATTTACTATCTATCTTCTCCTTTTCTTAATTCTTCTCTCGAAATTCTTTGGGGTAAAATCTCATTTTGAAGAGTGAAAATATTGTGACTCTTGAACAACAGTGGCAGTATTTTCACACTTTCGAAGTGAGATTTCACTTTTTTGAAGTAAGAGCCTTACCAAAAAATGTACAGAGCTGGAAATGGAAGAAGACAAATAGAAAAAGATAAGTAAGTTAACCCGAGATCAAAGTTAATCTTATATTTGTGGAACCGGGTCTAAGTATGTACGGTGAATTACAATATTTTGAGAAGCCTATACTGAAAAAAAAAAAGATTGGCTGTTGCTGCAAATTATAGTAGATGGTAAAATATGACATAGCATTTTTAATTGGCTGCAGCTAATCTTTTTTTTTTTTTTTCTCAATGCAAGTGTATTCTCAAATGTACTGTTAATGTTGTACGTGCGATAGACAAAAATTACACGCTGCAGAATGTTTAGTTTGACTGCTAAAGCGCAACAGAGCGTTAAAGGTGGTCCCGGGACGAAGGCGTTTAAATCGCAGTGGATGGCTGCCAAGAGGTCGGCGGTAGCATTACGGCGTTATCGCTACTTTACGCACTATGAACTCCGCGGTTTCTTTTTTTCTTTACGAGAAATCTAGCCGCGTCATCTTAACCCGATTTCTTCACTGTAAAAAGAAGGATCGTGTAACCTGGTTACGAATCGTATAGAATAACGCAAGGAGGATTTCATGATTTTCAGAAATACCGACATCGCTTTCTGGGCACGTATTATGAGATTATGCGGAATGGATTTTGATCGGAATTGTTCAATTATTCTCTGAGGTAAACATTTTTGGTATTTGTGATTATAATTGTGTTATCATATAATTACGGTTATTACTGTTAAAATGTTAATAATGACCTATATGAGCTATATATATGAATAGTTTTATCAACAAATCTATATACATATAATTAGCAACCGAAAATGACTATAACTATGGTTATTGTTACCACAAAAATAGTTTCAATTACTATAATTTAACTGCAATTTCAAGTGATTTTTGAAGACAATCATGATAAAATGTAATTCTCTCAAAAATGATTATGAAATATAGTTACGTTATAATAATTGCAACCGTTTTTACTGTAATTTTAATACGAAATTGGGCCGATGATAAATAAATCTAATTTAGGTAAGACAAATTTTATTTTCGGTCCTCGGTATCTAAATATTTGGGTGTGAATTTAAATACATATCCAATTTTGTGAACTTCGCGCGGTAAAATTTTGTCAGTCTTGAAACGCGATCATGAAAAGAATGAAAAGAGTAATATCACATATTAAATTGACAAGCAATTTAATAATTACTAAGCATTTTATGAGAATATTAATAATTTGATGTCAATAAAAATCTGAAAAACTGTAAATAATTTATTGCCAAAAAACATTTTTACGATAGCAATAATTCGAATCATTTTTGGTTGCTAATTATTCATCATATCATATTTATATCATATTTATAATAACACGTAATTATAGTTACAAATATGTGAAAAATGGTTCTCTCGGTATAGATTTCTATTGTACTCCCTAAAGAAAACCAAACAATTTCTAGCTCGGAATCCGAAACAGTTGGTAATACGTGCCCGGAAGCAAACGCGATGTTATCACAATCCGAGAGAAGGTATATACCCGGCATTGAACACCGGGGATTAACACGGATAATCTAATCAACCAGCACGCGTGATTTCTTCCGCTAGCAGAAGGCGTATCCGATTTTGCGGCGCGTTCGCGGATATATAATATAAAAGCGGCTGTGCCGCTCAAGCGGTAAACCTCGATTCCCGCCGTCGTGTTCGCATTGGTTCATATAGGACGGGGGGGTAGGCATGTCACAATAGTGTAACTGCGGCCATACACCACCTCGCGGTGTATCCGATCCACTGGAGAATAGACGCTATATGTATAACGAGAGACGAGAAACGCTCGGTGGCTGCACTGACCCTACACCGTCACGCGACCTGCTCCATAAATAAATATAGAAACGCATTGAGACAGGCGGTCTCGTTAATGGCGTTATCTCCGTACAACGAACACTGGCCTTAATTAGTTTGTTAATACGCCCAAGCGATTTGGATATCGTCACGTATCGAGTCAGTTTTCCGCGTTCGATTTCGGCGCAACGTTAACGAAGCCATCCCAGTCGCCTCGGGACTCCGACGATTCTAAACTAAGGATTGGAGTTTAGAGCAACGTGGAGGATCAAGTGAAATCGCAGTAGTCGAAATAATTTAGTACGATTTACCGAGTTGAATCTCTCGAGATCGTCTCTCGGTGTGGTATAAGAACAACCGACGTCGTATCACGGTTTAGAGGTGGAGAAAAGCGTAGGACACTTTCGGAAAGAGAGCGTACCTATATATATATATATATATACTCGTGTCGTAGAAACGAAGAAATTTAGTTCTGAAGAAATTTAGTTCGCAATAGTTTTGGCGTCTACGAGATTACGTGTACCGTAAAGATAATTAAAAACGCCACGGTAGTCGGCAGAGACACATTTTCGCGAATCGAAGCTCTCTCTCTCTCTCTCTCTCTCTCTCTCGGGCACTTATCGCACCCGTGGCATTACGTGGAGAGTCCGTAATGCCGTTTAAAATAACGCCAGTGACAGCTACGGGTTGCAGCGTGCAGATAACTGCGTGTCGCGCGTGTGCGCATTCATCGCGGACAATGCGAGCGATCTTTTAAAAGAGATCTACTTCGCGCACCTATACAGACCTATACAGACCGGCGGATGACGAGTATTAAAATCGCTTGCGTCACTGTCCGCGATGTTCTCTGTTAAGTGGACAGGCGGTAGGCCGCGGGGGCGCGAGCGCGATTATTCGCTGCCAGGATGCGTGTCTAATAATACGTAATGCACAATGTTCGCCGTATCGCGCGATCGGATCGAAGTCCTTCGGCTTCCCACGCCCGCGAAATATCACGGATTCTCCACACGCGGTGTGTGCGTTTGAAATAAATAAATGTACATTTGTATCGCGCGAAACCGACCGAGCTTGATCCTGTACGTGCGATGGAAGGGACGCGCGGGGTTTTTGCTCAAGCATTAAAAATTTCTCCTCGATAAATTGCAGATTTAAAAATAAATTTTGTCTCCATTTTATAAAAATAGTATCATATATAATAAATTTTATGTAATGCTTCCATTGTGTGCTTCTATTAATATTTTCCGCGACAAAAATTGATCGCAGTTTTTAAGAGTTTTATTAAATTTTTTATATTTCTCGCGATAAAAATTAATCGCTATTTGTCAAATTTTCATCAACAGCCTGAACACAAAAAGAACAGTTTTGCTAAAGTATCTAAACATTTTGCTAGGTATATGGATCTGAAAATAAATTGTTGTCGGGTTATTAAAATAATTGTGTGTGTACAATCAATTTTATGTAATATATTTTCCGCAGTAAAAAATTATTCGCAGTTTTTTTTCTTAATTGTTATTTACACCAAATTGTTAATACTCTTATAAGATGCTTATTAACATTAATATTATATGTTATTATTAAATTGCTTGTCTCAATTTAATATGTAATATTACTACTCTAGTTTTGTTCATAATTATGTTTCTA